ACCACACTGTTTTAATTCTGTAGCTTTATAGTAAGTTTTGAAATCATGAAGTTTAAGATCTCCAACTTCATTCTTTTTAAGATTATTCTGGCTATTCAGGGTTCCTTGAAACCCATATGAATTTTAGGATGAGTTTTTCTATTTATGCAAAAAGTGTCATTGGGATTTTGATAGGGATTGCATTGAATCTATGGATCACTTTGGGTAGTATTGCCATCTTAACAACATTAAGTCTTCCAATTCGTGAACAAGGGTTATCCTTCCATTTATTTGTGTCTTTAATTTCTTTCAGCAACATTTTGTAGTTTCAGTGTTCCAAGTCTTTAGCTTCCTTGATTAAATGTATTCCTACGTATTCTTTTTGTTATTTTAAATTGAATTGTTTTCTTAATTTCTTTTTCAGATTGTTCATTGTTAGTGTATTTTTGTGTATTGATTTTGTATCCTACAACTTTGCTGAGTTCATTTATTAGTGGAATCTTTAGGATTTTCTACATTTAAGATTGTGTCATCTGCGAACAAAGATAATTTTACTTCTTCCTTTCTAACTTGGGTGCCTTGTATTTCTTTTCCTTGCCTATAGCTAAAATCATTTTACCCTCCTTTCACATTTAGTAGATACCATATTCATTTGACAGTGAATTTGTTTTTAGATGAAGCTTACTGAATATGCTTTTAATCTCAAAACCAACTTTGTGAAAGTACTTTCTTGGTACTTCATGTTCTGCACATCTTTATATTTATCCTTCAGTTCTCATTTTCCTGGTCCTTGCTTTATTTTATCTGCCCCCATACCATTCTTCCATGAGTATCTGAGTCTTGTGACAGTTTATCCCTAAAAATTCCCCTTTGCTATGAAACTTTTATCAAAGACAAATATTTCAATAGTTATTAAAATTTATATTTTAATGGCTTTGTAATTGCTTGAATTAGGTGTGCTTCAGCATCATCTTTAGCATCTCAGTTTACAGAGGATCTCCATAGGTGGATTTTCTCTTTCACCATTAACATTTCTTTGTGATATATCTGAGTGCTCTTATTACCCTGTCCTCCACCCCTCAATGATCTTGGTAAGAATCAGTGAGTACAGACATATTTGGTCTCTCTTCAAAATAGGCCCCAAATAATGGATACTTTATTACTTGGAACTGTTTAAAAAAAAAAAAAAAAAAACCATAACACAAGAGTTATATTGCTAAAAGAGTGACTGAGAAGAAATCCTAACTTTCACGATAGACGTTAATTCTTTCAGAGATGAGGCCTTGATTTCTGTTTTCTTTCAACTTTTTTCTTAGAAAAGGCCTTTTAATGATCTGTTTTCATGAGGTATTTATAGATCTCTCTCTCTCTAATTCAGTGTCTACAAACTTGAGTGTGCTTCAGAATCACTTGGAGGGCTTGCTAAGCACAGATTGCTGGGACTGTACCCTCTTGAGTTTCTGATCATCAGCTGATTTGACATGGGGTCTGATCATCTGCCTTTTTAACCAACTCCCAGATGATGCTATGCTGCTGGTCCAGGCACCACAGTTTGAGAACCAGTGGTCTAAATCATAGTGTTTAACTTTCTTTATGTACCCACATATTTCTCATTGTCTAACCTAGACCACTTTGATTTGGGTATTCTACCACCTTCTAAGGTATAACATGTTTTCTTCAACATTATTCCCTTCTCAATTTTAAAAACAAAATTGGTAATATCACCATTTTTGTCATTCCGCCATGCCATCTTAAAGGTCTTTGTTTTACCCCCCTCACACACACATTCAGACTTTACAAATAGTGCTGCATCTGTGACGGTGATAATGATGACAACAACAGCAGAAACAATGATAAAAACAGCTAACATTTATAGAGGAGTGATTCTGTTCTAGGCGCTGTTCTGAGCATTTTATTTGAATTAATTAGTGTAATCCTTAACAACTCCCCCGTGGTGTAGCTGCTGTTATTAGCTCCAAGTAACTGATGAAGAAACTTAGGCACAGAAAAATTCTCACAGATGGGAAAAAGTGGAAGAGATGGGAGCTAACTTAGGCTTTCTGGTTTCAGGGCTCAGACCCTTCATTCCTCTCTTATCCAACCCCTCGTTACTATATTACCATGTTATACTGCCTTTCCATGCTATGTCTTGGAACCACATGCTTACTTTGTTTTCCATAGCCATTGCCCTCCCTGCTCCATGTCTTAATAAACTCCTAGGTGAACTATATCATCATATCCAAGCACTGTGCTAAGTACTTTACATGCTTGGAATTATTTAAGCCTCATAATAATCCTGTGACTTTTTGAGAAAACTGAGCCTTAGTAACGTTAACTAACTTGCCCAGTTTCTTATTACTTATAAGTACTAGAGCTACAACCTCAATCTTTGAAATGACTAAACCCATATTCTTAACCAGTATGCATCCTCCTCTCAACTCTGCCAGATTCCCAAACTCAAGTCTCTTACAGCATAAGAATCATATTCCCATTGTTGGTAGTAGTTTCCTGTTCTCTCTCATATCATAATAAAATACCTGGTTTGGTTTTAGAGTCCCCTACCCATCTCATTTCAACCACTTTTTAAAATAACTATCTGGTAAACCCTTTTGACAAAGATTTCTTTTACCCATCTGATTAATCTTATATACCATTTATTTTACAATAAAATATATTGGAATTCTAGGCTTCCAAATGAAATACTGTGTCCCATCTTCCATGTTGACCTGCTATGTTCTCCACCAAGTAGTGTTAAGACTATTGGACAATCTGTCATGCCTGTGATTGTACCTCCTCTGTGTGATTGACTTACAGGTAACACTAGTTTTCTGTAGTTTGACTGAGAGTGACATTATTATCTACCTTATAGAATAATGAAAATTCATGATTAGACATGTACAGTGTCCCATGGATCACAGTTAGAGACGAAGGTAGAAAAACAGAATTAAATGTCCAGTATGAGCTATAAAGGTAACAGTTGGGATTCCCTGAGAAGGGAAAAGAGAGAAGTCTGCATGGTGTTGAGTTTCACAGATGTCTAGGATCCTGATTTTCCCCCTTTACTCCATCTCATAATTCTTAATACGTTCTTCATACCTCCCTCAATTTCTCCTGCCATCTTTCAATTTCTTTCTTACATATCTACCCTAAGTTGCTGATTTCTGTCTGTCTACTAGCCCCAAATTTCATTATAGAAATTGTTACTAAGATTTTTAGATGTATAGAGTCCCTTGAACAGGGACCAGGGCTGTCTTTGTCAGAACTCAGCAGGTAAAATAATCATTCTACTGCCATGATAAAATAGAATAATAAAATTCTAGTAAAGGACTTAAGAGATTTAAGAATTAAATTATAATAATTTCTCCTATACAAAGCAATATTGGATAAATAAAATGTTTCATTAGTTTCGAATTGGTGAGATTAGAGTGAAAGAGATTCTAATATTGGCTATAAGTAGCCTGCAGATTTGCGTATAAATCATTTGAGATCTTCGTTTGTGATAGTGATTTTTAAAAATAGGCTCAAGTTTTACCTCTCATCAGAGGTGAGGGTTCTGCTATTCCAGAGCTTGCTTTTGGCAGAGAACCATACTGTTAGCACCCTTAGCCTTTGTTGCCATGGAGACAGTAAGGCTTTAATTTGTTTTTTTTTAACATACACTTAAAATATACATACATACCTTAAGATTTAAAGTGTGGTTTAGTTGACTGCAGGTTTTGAGTATTGGCACATATCAAAAATATTTTCTATTTTTTAAAAACTTTATATTTTTGTTCTCCAAAGAAAATAGAGGAGAATTCTGGTCATTGTAATGACAAAGTTTTATATTACTTTTTACAGGGTGTTTTAGGAATAACTTAAAATCCCCCTGTGAATCAGTAATGGATGAGGATTTTGAAGAACATGCAGAAACTTTTGAAAAAAGTAATGTGATCTTAAGCACTCACATGTCTGGGACACCTATAGTTATGATATGTGTAATGCATATAAGTCAATTTCAGGTTCAGCCGTTACTTTTGCACCAGTATTATGCTAAGCAGTTTCACCCTATTACAGTTTATTTAATAGAACTCAGTTTAAAAGTACCAAAGCAATCTTCATAGTTATAACTTCTAATATATTTAACTGATTATTTAAATGTATATCAATAATGTTCCTTAACTTTTCCCCCTAAAACCATTAAATAAAATTTATATGAGCTTTCAATATGAAAACTTTCAATTCATGAATTATACTTTTTTCGTTCATTCATTTCTTACAAGAATGAATGTTTTCCATGGCATGCAATATTACTGTTCCATAGACCTCATGATTATATTTGTAACTAAATCACATCTCTTTATCTTTAGCATCCAGTTGTAAACTGGCATGGCCTAGTTAATATTTTAGTCCACTAGCAGTTTTGACGTCTTACCTAACAGCTGAGCGGTTAGATAATTGATTTCCTCGTTAAGCTAAATATCAATAGATTAATCTTGCTTAAGGTATTTATCACAACCCAGTATTATATAATAGTTATTTCTAGATAAACAAGACTTTTGATTACAATTATTATAAACAAAATCTTAAAACTTAGTCCTATACTTTACTCAGTCAATACCTGTATTTAACGGCAAAGGAAGACAAAATAAGAAAGCTCTTGCTTTATAAGGAGAGAGAAAATAGCTAAAGGTGATAGACAGTTACAACTTATGCTCATAGTTTTGATTATTAGATTTTAGCTTTTCCAGTGTGCAGTGACTTTTTAACAAGACCCATCTCCTCTATGTAGAATGCAGTTAATTTTTTTTCTGGCACAAAAAAAATAGGGTAACCTGATCTGAGTCTGACAGAGTGTGTCGTTCATTTAAGTGCTTCCATCTGTTGCCTGCTGTTCCCCTTACTCATGACCCCTCTATGTTTCTCTTTCCTTTCTCTTTCCCTCTGTTTCTCTTTCCTTTTTCTTTCTTCCTTCCTTTCTATTTTCCTCTCTCTCTTTTTTTTTCTCTCGCTCTCTCTCTCTGTCTCTCTTTTGTCCTTAGCCCCTCTGAGGAAGGCAAAGTTTGTTGAGAGCCCACGAATTCCAGAATCCGAGCTTGGCTCACCAACCCTCACTTCAGCTCAGAAACTGGACGTGGATGCATACTGCCCTGGTAAGCATGCATGCAAAGTATCTGCTTTGAAAGAGGGAGGTTTGGATCAGGCCCATCAAGCGGAGCAGTGTTTTGCACGTATATTATTCATAAAAACATAGCCGCTACCTCTTTTGCAACTGTGATTGCATATTCTCCTCACTAGAGCACTGTTTTTACTGAACATCCTTTTTGATTATTGATATAATTATGTAAGTATTGAAAACAGCTTCAAAGATAATTTTCAAAAGAATTAAAATAATTCAGTAGGTACGTTTTCAGGGTGATTTTTGTGATCTGAGGTACTTGAAATTTTGCTTTGGCCATGTGCAGTCAGGAACGTTCAAGTGTGAATAAAAATGTTCATTCAACACTGGCCCTTTGCATATGACCTTTTTTGCCTAATCCCTGTTGGTTTTCTGGACAGTTACAGAAAATAGTTGTGATGTTGGAAACATTATACTTGAATTAAAAAAGAAACATTATAGGTTCCTGATTTGGACTCCTGGACGCTCACTGTTAGAAATACCTCTTCTCATGAATGGCCTGTAAGCACATGTGGGAGTTCACTAAAACCCTTCTTGTGTGGGAGCAAACCTGAGACAGACTCATTATCAAGGCTTAGATTCTTCCAAACTTAGACGAGTTGCCTGGCAACATCCTTTACACTCACTCTACAGTGAGTCTGTAGAGCTGTGTCAGAAATGTTCACAGCTCTAGTTGAGTATACAGATCAGAGCTTCAGTAAAAAACTTTACAAGACTTGGTTTTAGGTCTTTTGTTTATTCCTGCTCATTAAAATTGCCCAGTGGATGCAACTACTACATATTTACAGCATTACAGATCAGCAGAATAAGGTGATTTCTAGTTCTAGGGAAGTTATCAGTAGCTGTAATCTGAAATAGCAGGATACTATACCTCTGAAGCCAAATAAGACATGTTTTAAAAAAAGACAGTAGGCAAAAACTTGAGCCAAACCTAATCAGAGACATTTGATTCTATGAATCAGTTTTGAATATTGAAAGACCTAGGGGATTTCACTTGCAGGTTGCGGAAACTTGGGCTTCATCCACTGTTGTAAGTGACTATTCAGTTTAAATCAATCGCAGATATGTGTTAGGAATAGCTTTTCTATTTCTAAAAGGAACAAAATTTTTTCATGTTTTGAGGTACTGTCACATTTCTTGGGCAATGGAATATTATGCTCTGCATTTCATTACGCAAATTTTAGTGTAATAAAGTAAAATAAATAAATGCACTAATTCTCTATTCCTGCATTGAGTTTTGGAAGAGAAACCCTATCAGAGGCCTTTTCTTTTCCAGATTTGCAAATCAGAATGATTGTAGGGAGACTAATCTTTCACTTCCTGATTGACCATCTGACATCCTTAATCTAATCTAGCTTTTGTTATTGTCAAGAAGCAAGGTAGCTGCTGTTGGTTAGATTACCAGTGCTGAATCACTGTGAAAAATCTTGTCCGTGTTATTACTTACGTATATTTTCCACAAGCAGGAATCTTTGCTGAATTGGAATTGAACCAAACTAAACCTCAGTTAAGATTTTCAGAAAACCGGGAAGAAACTAAAACATATTGCCAAAATGTTAATTGCCATACACTGCAGTCTCTCCTTTTCTTATCTGAAATAGATTTAAGGCACAGAAACTTTTTAATGATTTGTTCTTTTATAGGAAAGTTATTAAGCTCTGTGGAAATAAGTTTCTACTGAGATAAGATTAGTGACTTGAGGGTTGAAGCTATTATCTTCTACATAGTACCAAAAATTAACAATAAACAAATGAATTTAGTAGACTCATAAAGCAAACAAATAATCCATCCTCTTTGAATTTCTCTTGCATAGGATATATTAACCAAATAATGATCATATTTTATTGTATACTCATGCATAATAGTGCAGTTAGAGCTAGTGATCTGAAATCTTCCTGTCCACCTGCTTTATTCATTATCACATGCAGATTTAGGAAAATAGGATATCAGACAGAGGCAACAGTCCTAAGCTAAAGGCAAAACGAGCAATAGTTCTCAAATTTTAGCATGCTTCAAGAATTACCTGGAGGACTTGTTCAAATACAGATTGCAAGACCCACCCCCAGAATTTCTGATTCAGTAAGCCTGGGTGGGTTGAGAATTCAGTTCTCTAACAAATTCTCAGTTAATGGTGAAGCTGCTGGTTGAGCTGCCACACTTGGAGAACCAACTGGGTTACAGGGCTGCTGGGGGCTGCTTACAAACCTATAGGGTTCATTCTGCTGTTGACTTCTGAGGAGTAATTGGGGATGTTTCCTTATTATCTTAACTTAAACCTTTTGGTACCTGTATTTTAGGTGGGAAGAATAAAGCTTTTGTGTCTGAGAAATTGACATATATTTTTCCTGATCTGTCTTTTTGTACATGGTATCTGTGTACCCATGACTAGTTTTCAGTGTTGTCCTACAAGAAAAAGGAAACTGTGGATCAAACCAGAGCAAGTTGTTGATATTTGGTCTGCAAAGTTTAGGGAAAGCTGCAGTGGGATATAGCTGTTGATCCAGAATATTTGTCTAATAAACTGAAGGATTCAGTCTACATAGCATTAGATTCTAGAATACTTAATTTGTTTTACTCTTCCTCAAATCAGATTTGTTATACGCAGAAAACCTGAGGAAAAGTTACAAGTTAACAGTATGTTTTGGTTCTGCAGCTGAACCGTGGAGATGATTGATGATGTTATATAACTGAACTACCAGAGTAGGCGAGGTCAAGTGAATTGTGTTTGATAATCGTCTTACAGTGGGGAAATTAGGCCTAGAGAATTTAAGTGATTTGTGGAAGGTCACAAGCAGGATTTATTGTTGAACTCTTGAAGTGGACACAGTATAGTCCAGAAATACATTGTCCCTAATTCTATTGCTGTGGAAATTCTATAAGCACCCCTTGACTGACCCTTAAATTAAAAAGTAGAAAATTCAGTTTTTTCATATGAGACAGGGCTGTATTCTCTTTTTAGGGTAACCAACTGATATCAGTGATTTCAATAAAACAATTCCCAAAATAAAGGAACATGCTCACCCTACACTCTGACTTTTCTACCTACAGCATTAGTTATTAGCTGTGTGATTTTAGGCAAGTCACTTAAACAGGCTGTCTAAGCCTGTTTCCTCAGTTGTAAAAATGGAAATGGTAACCTTAGATTAATAAATCTAGAGCACTTAGCACAATGCTTGTTTTATAGTAAATGCTTATAAATGTTATCTAATTCTGTTATTATCATAGTGATGATCCTGAGGTGTATGACACAAGATTTTAAAGTTTTTCTAAACAATCAGGAAAAACAAGGTGTAAAGGTTTAGGGTCATTTTTAATTAAATGTGTCTTATTGTGTTTCAATTATGATTTTCCCCTAACTAGTTCTGTGATCTTAAGCATGTCATGTAACGTCTCTGTGCCTCAGTTTCCTATCACAGCAACGTTACATATAACATGATGTTACTTATATAATTTAACAAATTAAGTATATATTTGTATAGATACATGAGTACACATTCAAAGGGGAAAATGTCCAGAAGAATACCCCAAACTAACATCGGTTGCCTGAAGAGGGAGAGAATTGGGATTGTTTGGGTGTCAGAGGAGAAAGTAGCATTGGTGAGATAATGATCACGTTAGCAGTGGTTGTATCTGGCTGGTGGGATTACAGATGATTTTACTTTTCTTTATTGGGCAATATATGTTAGTGAATGAGAGCTCTGGTTCTGAAATCAGATGTGAGTTTAATTCCTGACTCTGTCGCCTACTAGCTATGTGAATACATGTAACATTCATAGTCTTAAATTCCTTGTCTATAAGATTGTGATAAAAGTAGGTCATTTTTTACAATAAATCTATCTCGTAGAGTTGTTAAGATTAAGTAAAATAATGTATATGACAAATGATTAGCTCAGGCAAAACAAACGAGATATGTAGCACCCTTCCTGTTATTGTTGTTCATCATCATCATCATCATAATTTTCTTCATTTTCTAAAATTTCTGCAATGAATTTGTATTGAAATTTTTCAGTAATCAGGTGCTGCTAAAGGATAGCAACATTCCTTATGTCTTAGTTTTTTAAGTTTTTAGTTTGCATGTTATAACACATAATTTCAAGTGTAGAAATGACCCTTGATGCAGATGGCAGGCCATGTTGACAGTTTTATAGGACTTTTGACTACATGTGCAAGGTTAAGGGCCAAAGTCCAGACCAGTGTTCTGAAAATAGACAGGCTTTTATCCACAGCAGATACTTTCAGAGGAATTTGAGATTAATCTTTTTGTAATAGATTCTTTTAAATCTCTTTAAAAATGGCACTGTCCTTCAAAGGACAGTGTTATTTAAGGTGACAACAAAATTAAGATGTATTTGCAACTCAAGAATGGAAGAGAGTTTTATGATACTTATTTGAAAGTACATACTCATATTTATATAGTTTTTGAATTTGTAAAGGATTTTTCATTTGGATTTCTTATCAGCATGGTACTCTATAGCACAAGTACAAACCACTGTTGATAGATGAAATATTTTACATAAAGTGAGTAGTTCCTTGAATCCTCTTTTTCCAACTCCTGTATAGTCATGGTCATTCCACTTAGAAGAAAAGGATGATTTGTTTTCTCATTTTCTTCCTTCCATGTTTTTCCTGAAAACATTATCAAATGTTATCTTTATCCTAAATAGTTAGGCATGCTTCTTTTTTTTTTTCTTTTGGCTATGAATTTTATACTTTAGACATAAAACCCTCTGATTTTTGATTGGTATATGGATACCAGAAGCCTTTTTCTTGTAATTCACGTCTTCTGTTATGTTGTATTTGTATTCCTTAAGTCTACTATGTTGTAAACACAATAAGTATACAGCAAGATTTTTAACCTGAATTAAACAGGTGAGCTTTAGGGAGGCGGGTTCTAAACTCCTTAAAATTACATACAAACACCATTCTATATGCATATATGTACTTCTTCCTATAACAGGTTCTCAAAATGGTCTG